TAGTAGGGTTCTGCAGGTACTGGTTTTTGGCTGTATATCATTTAACATTGTCAGTGACATAGAAGAAAAGATAAAATCATTTCAATAGAGTTTAGAGATGGTGTGACATTTGGGACTATGTTAAATAATGACCTGGAGAGGTCTCTGATGCAGGAGGGTCTGATTGATGGGACAATGGTTGCAAAAACCCAGTAATTTCATAAAGCTATATGTGTAGTATCTGGGGGGAAAATACTTGAAAAAAAGGGAACATTTTCATAACAGAGTCCCGGAAAAAGACGGGAATCATGATAACTAGTCAGCTGGGTTTGGTCTTGCACCTGGTATGTGTAAATAGGACACTCTGCAATGTCAGCCATAATGCTGTCAGTGTCCCTTGTTCTGTTTATGTGCCCACAGCTCAGACAGGTTGATACAAAGCAGTAGGTGGACTGTGGAAGAATGTCAGAGATAATTACATTATAATTACATGAGAAAACATGCCTTAATAAAAATAGGCTTAAGGAGCTCTCTCTACTTTCCTTGTCAGGATGGTGGATTAAAGATGTTTCTGAATGATGGAACGTTGATGCTAAATGAGTCTTCATATTTCTAGTCAGAAGTACAACAGCTGTTGGGGCTGAAGCTGGAACCTTAACATTCATAAAGCTAAATTGTGAATGAATGATTTTGCAGTAACAATCAAATGGCCGGTCTGTCCCAAATAAAAACCACATTTTTTCTGTCTTGATGTTGAATGCTGCTGATTTTGCTGTTTAGAACAACAGATTCATTGCAAAGCTAGGTCCAGAGCTAAAGGTAGAATTTTCAGGAATTGAAAGTTTAATAAGTCCTACTAATAAGCCCATTATTTCCATTTCCTAAGCAGGGTACTGTAGATCTTACTCTGCCTGGGAGATGGATAAAAACAGCCAGTTAATGTACTAAAGGTCAAAATTTCAAGAGTGCTCTACAAATGCATTACAACTAACTATTAATAATTCTCTCCTTTTTTTAAGGGGTCTGGTCATGTCCAAGGGAATGCCAGCTACATTTTTCTTAATGTATGAGCACAAGTTACACATAACAACCTAACAACACAATACTGCCTCTTTAATGCTAATCTATTCCTTGCAATCTACTAGATACATGTAGAATCATTGGTGTGTATCAAGAGAGCAAAATCAGATTCTGAAAATATCTGAAAGGATGCACTAGAGTGTACATAATAATGTATTTTAATCTGCCAGGCCTTAAAATTAATCATGAATTCCCACAGAGATTTTAATAATTTTGAGATGATGTTTTTTTTTTTTTTTCATATAGTGATATTCTTGGACAGAGTTCTTGAAATGCTACATAGAAATAGGTGGGGGAGGGAAAAATTTGGGCCATTTTTCAATTACCAGGTTAGCTAAGATACAGATATGAGAGCTACTGTTTAATTGGTTGTTTTATACTTTTTCTTCCACCTAATAGATAATCAGTAAGGTACCTCAAACACAAACTTTTATCACATCATAAAGCTGGCATACAGCATAAAGTTTATCTCTTTGGGCATATACTTATGGGAACAATTCTCATCAGCAAGTGCCATACTGAATTACTTGAAACTTCCTGGGGAAGGCTGCAGTTTTAGGATCTCATCTTACGTTTTGTCCTAAACATTTTTGTCTCTTTATGAAAAATAATGTATCATTGTTCCTTGTGGCTTCAAGCTACTCAGGGCCATAGTTTTTGCCCAAATACCTGAAGCTTCTAAATATGTTTTACCAGGGCCACTTTGTACAGTCGCAGCAGAAGCATTATAACTCCCCCAAACCCAAGGTATTTTTTTTGTTGTTGTTAAATGCTCTGTCTTTGATGTGTGACCATGCATAAAGTACTGTAAACAGCATCGGTATTGCTGAAGGTCTACGATTTTCAGGGACAAAACAAAGGTATTGTTCAAAAAATTACCACTGAATTTAACAAAAAAAGGTTTTCTTAACACACGTAGAATTAAACACAGAGGTAGATGATTGCTGTGCACCCCATTACTGTTCCTTGGGAGATATTAATGTCATAAGGGATCAAGCATGATGAGCAAAATATGTTTAACTCCTTGGAAAAAAAATCCCAAACTTGTAATTTTTTTAATTAAAGAGTATTACTCATGTTCCACCATTTATACGAATTTTGCACAGCTGTTTGCACTAATATGCGTTAAAATGGGCAATTACCACAGCAATCATGGTTTGAGGCAACACACTTGCTCCATTTTAAGTATATAGCCATGCTCTTATCTCTCTCTTGCCCACAGACACACCTGGTTTTATGCTATTTACTTGCTTGTTTGTTCCTTCCTACTAGTTGGAGCCAAGAAATATTTCAGACACCAAATATTTAATACATTTCTGGATCTTATGTTAACAGCCTATGGGCTGTGGTTTTGGTTCCCTGTTTAAATGGTTAGGAGAAGCAAGAGGCAAAAGGAAAAGTGATGTTTATGATGAGAGGGTAGATGAAGGGGTCGAGGAAAGCTGAGAATAGCTGAAGTGTGTCTGACACAGCAGTTTCTCTTCTGTATCACTATTTTATTTTTATGAGGCTGCAGCAAATTGATAGCTTCTGATACCATAGTCAATAAAACGTTGTGTAAATTCCAGCGATGGGCTGGAAAAAGATTGAATTAAAAGGGAGGTATTGGGCCACATCCATATTTCAAGTCATTTGTGTGCTGCCTTATCTCAGTACTTGGGGGAAGCAGTTTCTTCACAACTAACCACCCAATTAGTACCTGCTGAGCTTGATTTTCTTCTGTCTCCCTGTTTCTATGCAAACCAACTTCTTAACAGTTTCTTTTTCATTCCTGTTTCTTAGAAAGTTTGGACAAGTCACTAAAAGGGATCTTGTAAAGAAAATTATTCCAAAATCTTCCCTATCCTGGAAAATATTTTTTGTAAACATGATATGGCAGTCTGTTTAGCCATAATTATTGCTGCAGTTGATTTAAGGCTTCTTCCAGGAATTTTTCTGTAGGGTCACAGGATAATTCAGGTGAGAAGGGACCTCAGCATGTCTCTAGTCCAGCTGTCTTCAATCAGGCTCAGCCAGCAGCTCAGACCAGGTGCTTGGGGATTTCTCTGGTCAGATCTTGAAAAGCTCCAAGGATGGAGACTGCACAACCCCTCTGGGCAGCCTTACTGTGTTCCTGGGGAAATTGTCCTCCTTGGATCAGTCTTATGTTCAGCTCGTGCCTGTTGTCTCTTGTCTTCGCACCATACTCGGTTATAAGACCAGCTCCATCTTCTAGATGATTCCAACATCAGTACTGGAGGGCTGTTCTTAGTTGGCCCTGATGCTTTGTCATCCCCAGGCAAACAAGTCCCAGCCCTGCAGCCTTTCCTCACAGGACAGTTGCTGCAGCCCCAACCATTCTTGTGGCCTTCTCTGAACCTGATCCAGTTTGACAATGCCTTTCCTGTACTGGGTGGGGGGGTGTGATGTGTGGTATGGGGGAACAGGCAAATATAGTGTGGTTGTTCTCATCAGCATACAAAAAAGCTGACTGATTTCAAGGCTGGCAAGCACTTGTGTAGCCCACTGACCTGCTGCACAGCTGGGCAGTTGCTGTTTTACTGGTTTGGGTCAGGATTAAGAAGAGCAGCAATCCACTGTTGGTACCGTCATCCTTTTTCCCTCAAGTCTTGCCAGAGGTTTGCTGTTTCCTTAGTCTATTCCGTTTCCAGGGGTTCTTGCCATCTTACCCTCAGATACCATTAGTTTCACTAATCCAAAGCACCCATTAACAACCTTGCAGAAACTCCACAGTTACCACTTCAGCCATGTTTGTACTGGTAGTTAAATCAGAGCCAGGAGCTGGCTCAAGCATGACGCACTCCTGTCCATGCTGTTTCATTGCTCTCTGGCATGAAGATAATGCCAGTCAGTGTTCTCCCAGGCAGTGCCCCAGAGCAGTTGAGGAGGCATCATGAGCCAGAGGCCATTCCAGGTTACAGTCATGCTGTTCTGGATGGACAAGAGAGCAGGGAGAGTCCAGGTGTGCAGGTGCAATCTGTGACATGCTATGTGGCTCTGGGAATAGAGAACAGTTCATGGCCTGTTTATTTAGTATAGACATTTTGCATTCTGCCTGAGTCCCAGCAGCCATCTTCATGTCACCTCACACAGCTCTTCAAGCTTTCTTTGGCATCTGTCATAAATAAATCCTATTCCTTACTTGCATCAAGTTTAGCTGTCAAAAATGTGACCAGAGTAAATAATGTAGAGCTGAGCTTTAAGTGGACAGGTTAGCTATTCGATGGCTCTCTCAAACACTCTAGGGGGCATTTGCAGCCTCGGTCATAACCTTTGCCACCTCTAAGATCTCTACAATCTCTAACTACCTCTAGCAAGAGGGACACTCCTACTTGCTTGCAGATTTGGCAGACTAGGAAAATCATTAGAGCACAAAGACCCCTTCCTGCATCCTCAGCTGGCCTGAGTGATGAGGTGATGAGATGGCCATGGATTATGACATCTATTTTATCCAAATCAAATATATCCAATTTACAAACACCACCCTCCTCCCCCAACCCAACACCACGTCTCCAACTTTGAGAATTGTACTGAAGAATCCCAGAGGTGACTTTTTCTGCTGTCAACCTGGCCACATTGTAAACCTAGTACTGCTGCCTATCTTTTCATACTCTGTAAGAAAAAGAACAAGAGCAACAAAAATCATAGGGATCTTGGAGAGACTAAGATGGGGCTTTGTGAACTATCTCTGCATTTATTCAGTTCTCTGTGAATTAGAGAAAAAAAATTACATCCTTCAGCTGATTTCTGAAAAACCTTAATGCTCATCATTATATTAATTTGATAGGCTACAAGAGTGGAATATATTTAGAGCTTTCCCTGCAAGTGATGGTGTCATAATACTAAAATATAGTTTAAACTTTATGCAGCACCTTTTATGGAGAAGGACTTTCAAGCATTTAAAACCGCAAAGAAACAGAAACAAATATGACTCTGCTTACCATTGAAATGCAACCTGGATCTGGAGGTAAGTATTCAGCAATGCAGAACAGAAGAGAAGTTTATGACAGAACATAAAGAAAAATTTTGTACCTACCAGAAACGGCAAGGGGAATTTAGCTAAGCGAAATGAAATTCCCTAACTCAGCATCTGGAAAGGACATCCTGCTTATGTACTTTTCTTCCTGGAAAAATGTCTCATTTCTGGTTCTTTGCAATCAGCCATTTAGACCATGCTGACTCACCATGAGCAGTGGAACTTGGAGAAGATAATAGGGGTGAAACCGATGGGATTCAGTAGAAATTACTCTGAATAACAGATGGGATTTACTAGAGAATTATTTAAATTCTGGAGAACTGAAGAGCTAACCTATTGAACCAAGCAGCATTTATAGCACACACTTCTTCTAGGATATCATAGGGTGATGTAAACAGCCGGTGGAAAGAGGCATCACTGTGTCAGATTTTTCCAGAAGAGCAGAACTGAGGAACCTGTACATAACTGCCTCACAGTCATTGTGATGCCACTGTTAACACCTTCACGATCTTTTCCTCACCAGCAATCATTACCACTGCTCAAAAGAGCGGCTCCACACGGCACTGCTGGGAGCACCTTGACCACAGCTGATGCGCTTGGAAGGGTCCTGCAGGCAGCCTGGGGGATGCTGCAGCATCATGGCAGCATTTGCTATGGCAAAGGTTTAAATGGCAGCTGCAGTGGAGGGATTGCTGTACTCCGGAGGCTTCAATGTGATGGCTGGGGATGAACAGGGAAACCACTCTAAAATACTTGAAAAATGTCTATAATAAGACAAACTGTAACCACTGTATAATCATTTATAAGAGCTAAACAATTTTAAAAATAACAACTAGGAATGTAATTTATGAATCTTTTATTTATGCATGTTTAATAATTGGATTATTTTAAATTATTGTGATGTTTACTGAATTGCTAACATTTTGTCCTTTTAATTAAAGACCTCTTAAACCAAAGCAAGTTGAATCCAGCATATCCAAATGAAGCACATAGCACTTTGCAACTCACTTAAAAAACCTCAGATGTTTATTAGTGAGTGCTGGTATCTAAAGCTGTCAGACTGCTTTGCTTTTGCACCTTTTATGGATACTATGCTGCTATTGCCAAGAAAAAGACAAGTATAAATGATGTCAGAATAAAAGCAGAGAGAGCAATGGTGAAAGAAGAAGAAATTTTAACAGAGATCTCCGAGACGTTCTCCCTCTGGCCTCAGCTACATGTACCAAAGTAATCCACCAACAGAAGTCATGCCAGACAGAGTATTTTGTGTTGCCGCTTTGGAACTTAAGACATTATTTATTGCTTGTTTAAAAGTGAGGGGCCTAACTTCCATATTACTTGCCTTTTTTTCTTTCGCACCTTCAATGTCACATTCACATGGGTTTGTATGTTACCTGTTTTAATAGGCAATACCAGTTTCCTTATTCATTTCATTCCCCTACCCCTCTTTTTTTTTTTTTTTCCAAACTTTACCCCTTTCTCACAGGGGGATGTCAACTCAGCATCAGACTATGGAAAACCAAGATGGAGTGTTACTGGAGGAGATGGAAGCAGCAGTTACAGCCATCTCATCTTGGAAAGCCATGGGTAAAAGCAAGGTAGTAAATGTCTGGGTTGGAAAGGACATCTCCCCAGCAAGCGGTGCAAGGGAAACACACTGCAAGGTCGGCATTGCTGCTGAGCAGACAGGACAGGCAAGCAAACCACTGGAAGGACTAGCACCCTCAATGCCACTTGGGGCAGTGCTTTCCTGCAGGGGAACAGTGGTGGGACTCCTGTTATACTCAGTGTTGTACTATGGCATTTTGTCTGTCCTGCGGGTTTTTGTGCAGTGATTATGGTGGGAAGATGGTGGAGTCCTGCAGATGAGCTGGGAGGTCTCCAAGAGGCGATGAGTCAGGATGTGCTCTGCACTGCCTCTGGCTATATGTGCGTCTCCTAGTCTTAGGTCCCAGAGCACTCCAGTCATGTGCTGTTACTCACAGTAAGTGGCTGGCAGAAATGCTGGCAGACCCACTCGCCACTGGCAGACAGCCCATGAGAGGATGTGGCCTCTACCATACTTTGTGCAACACATCATTCTTTTCCTCTTTCAGCCTTTTAAGTGCATGGAGGATCTTTGCCTGTGGTCCTGCTGAACCCAGAGGGGAAACCTGAGATGTTGCAACCTCCAAGTAGCACCTCAGAGCAAACTCATATATGAGAGCATTTGCTGCTAAGGTGATACAGAAGCAAACATGGTCTTTGTTTGGTATTTTACATGGGTGGATCAATCTGGCATGGCAGTACCTCCCTCCTGACAGTGGCCAAGCTCAGTTTGGCTTTTACTGGTGAAAAGTCCCAGAGTTCCTTTGAGGCAGAGAACAGTCACAGAGAAACAGCATTTTCTCTCTCTCACCTCAGCTCTTTCCTGCATTGAGATAATAAGCAGAGAAGATAATCACCATAGGATGGTTTCCAGTCTAATTGTCAGGAAAGTGAAGACCTCAGATCAAGCTTTACTGCGGCAGAATCAGTGTTCCTGCCCTGTTCATCACTGACCATTGCCTGATCAGTGCTGCCCAAAGAGGAGGGCAGTAGCTACTCCTACTAATTCCGTAGCCTCAGTGATATCCTTAAGACCATTCACAGCAAAGGGCTGTGGCGTTGTTGCCTGGTGGGAAGTCCTAGAGTACAGGAGAGCAGTGAGATACTTTTGTGCCCTGAGGGTGCTGTGCCCTGGGGGTGGTAAGAGACAAATAGCGTAGTCTCTTCATGTGCTCTCTGAAGTACACGCAACGCAGTCACAGGCCCACACATCATCTCAATGATACACACCAACAGAGACACATCCTGAAACTCAAGAAAACGCACCTTGTGTCATGCCTGGTGTCTTTGGCTGCCTGAGGTTGAGGGGAGCAGGGCAGTTCCCCAGCAAAAGAGGTGCTGCAGCCACCCATCTTCAATATGGAGAAAACAGCACTAACCACTTGCTCTTCCCCTCCTAAATGCTTCACTGAGGAGGTTAGGAGAGATTCGGCTCCTTGCTGTGTGCTGTGGTGTTGTCCCACCTGGATGGCAAAGGTTTCACATGCAGTTGAAACCAGACAAGTGAAAAGCAGCAGAAACAGTTCTTGCAGCTTCTTGTGTGTGCTGGCAGACACCTTCACTGTGTCGAACCACTGAGCTAGATCCCAAGCCCTGAATAAGTCAGCCTTTAGATTGATTGTTCTTTGACCTTTCCAGCAATTTTTCAATCCAAGGGTATGCATTTTATGAGGAGTCACTGAGTCCACTCCAAGGATAACCAGGGCTGTGCTCATGTACATCCCTTCTGTTATCCAGGATTTTATTTTTTTCTGTGGACTTTAACTCCTATATCCTCATGCTGAGAGCACAGGATCTGCATCTCATCTAGTAACCATTTGTAGTATCTGTTACAAAATTATGAATTGACTGATTTCACCAGCACCACCAAATTTCTGACCAGCTTTTAATGAATTGCAATGAATAGACAGCCCAGGTACCACTATTGTGTTATAGAATTGCGGTCTTCATTCACATTGCAATAAAATGCTTTTTAATAACTTCTCTCAGTAACTCCCCTAAATAGTCTGAATATTTTCTAATCAAAACCCATTGGAATGGGCAAAATAATACATATTTAAAGTCAGATACTTTGAAGAGTTAATTTGAGGTCATGAAAATTATTTGTGTCTTAGTCAAATCAGTCTTTAATAATACATTTATTTTTAAAAAATTTAACTGTAATCTGCACTTATTAAGAAGCAATATTGAGTATCCCTAGTAGATAATATTTACAAAAAACTTTTTGAGGGTACAAATATATTGGGCATATACCGTCCTGGTAATAACAATATGGTCTGTCACGACAGTATCAGTACCATAACAATTTTGGTGTAGTCATAAACCAATTATTCTCTTTTAAAGGTGGTGAATGTCAATAATGACTTTTCATCGCTTTTGGTTTGAAGGACTACCTGTGACCTGAAATAACTTAATTCCAGGACTGACATTAGAGGATTTTTATGGAACAACACGGTTACTACCGTATCCTGACTCTTCAAAACTGTAAGTATGTGCTCAGCTGTAAATCCACAAGTGTCATTGTCTTTAATAGGACCATTTGTGTGTCTAAAAATCAATCATGTATACACATGCAGAATTGGAATCACAATAACAGAAAACAGATGCAATGATTAATTACCCAATTGAAAGTTGTTCACGAATACCGTGTCTGACAAGTCTATAAATCCATTGAAATCTGTGTTAATAATAAATGATCAAAGACTAATACTAAGAGCATAGCCTAATTGGTAGGACAGGAAGCACTTGATTCGACAGGTGTTAATGAAGATGATGCTTAGAAGTCAGGAAAATCTTTATGGAAACAAGAGCAGTGATGCATGGTCCCAAATTGTTCGGGGAAATTGTGGAATTGCCACCCCTGAGGAATTCTGAAGAAGAGGTCAGGAAAATTTTCCAGGTTTTTTTTTTCTGGTTTCACTCCTCCATCTTGTGGCAGATGAGCAGGCAAGGTGATCTTTGGAGCTGTGATTAGACCCTGATCTAGCAGAGCCAGAGCAGGACGTCATCAACACACAGATTGCACCAGAACCTTCATTGTCCCCAGAAAGCAGATGTACTGTGGAGTGGATTCATATCAATCAAACTATGCAGGTGAGACACAGGAATAAGAGGAACAACTTCTTGTCACTTCACTGTGGGGTGTGATGAGTGCAGCCACATTGCAGCAGTTATATCTCTGCCTGTTGACCCCAGCTGGCAGTGTGGGAGGTGAATGAGTTGCCCAGCAGCGCTCAGAGGCTGATGGAGATCTCTCTGGTGCCACAAAGGTGCAGCTCATTTGCACTTCAGTCTCATTTACTCACTTTTGTCATGTACAGTCTTCACACAAAGCTGGAATGGCCTCGACTTTGCTTTCTCCTTGGTTTTCATACAAATGTGAGTCCAAGTGGGAGGATTCCTGTGAGTATGTCTTTTCTACAAGTAGAGGAGAATAAGGAGGTCTGTGCAGCCTTTTAGGGCTGTT